TTGAGTGTTCCCGTTGGAGATATGAAAGAAAATAAAACTTTTAGTTATCTCGAGTAAGTGGAATGTAAATGTCTTTCGTGCAAAATGGAATGGTGCACCTTATAAATCATGAATTGTGTCCAAAAATAATTGCTCATATAAAAAATGATAATAAACTTAATGATCATTGACAATGAAAAATACATCCGAAAGTCCATTTCCTTTCAAGTAAGGCCATATAGTTTACAATCTAAAAGAAGCGAGACGTTCAGGGAGATTATTTATAATGTATATAGAGAATTTGAAGACGATGCTCCAATGATGAGCTATGCTAAATGACTTCCTTGATAAATGTAGTCCTCTTACAGCTTTATAATTTAATCATAAGTTAATTAATATAATCAACTATTTTTATGATAAAATTTTGAAATGTTAGAGAAATGGGGTAATTATAAAAGGCCCCAGAATATAAAAAGCTGGTAATATAATACTAGCCATCACTTGATGGTGTGATCCGAACGGATAATTTGTATCTTTAAAAATAACACTTTAGGTGTGAAACAATTGAGGCCATATTTGCCTAATTTCCTGAGTTATTAGTCAATAGAGCAGATTTAGCAGGAAGAAATGGCTTATTTGTAAAACAAAGAGGATTGTTGGAGCCTTAAAAGCCAGAAGCCTAAGTATAAAAGAGTTCGCACCGAAGGCCGGGAGGTTCTGAGGACGAAACCACTGGGTGCGGGCCCAGATCGAAAGTTTCGAGACCAGAAAGAGGCGATTTGTAAAGAACCGATTGTGGTGATGAAGTTGAGTTTAATTGATCGAAACGATTGAGTCGACAACTACACAGCGAAGCTTGATGACTAGATGGAAGAACGCTGCTCGCTGTTGTAGTCAAAATAGATGGAGATGAGGAAGATTGAAGGGGAAATGGAGCGACAGTGGCAATCGACTGGGGCGAGTCAACTGAAGTGCAAGTGGGTTCTGAAGTCGGAAAAGAAAGTATACTAGGAAGACAAGAGGCTTGGCCTGACTTAGAGTCAGATACTGTAGTAGTAGCAGTAAGGGGAGATGAGAAAGAACATATTGACGTTGTATTTTCTGAATGGCTCATTGATTCGGAATTGAAGCTAGCTGATGATTGTCCACCTAGGCAATCCAAGGCAGCGACGGACTTGCGAAGGATCGTCGGAGAAGGAGAAGTGGATGG